CTTCAGATCGGAGGATAGCTAGCCGGTGTCTCAGTATAGAATTTTCGAGTTTTCGAATTGTCTCACGCGCTGCCTCGTTTCACATAATTTCACATACTCTCGAGTAAATTGAAGCAATATTCATATGTCTGGTAGAAGACATGTCTAACACCTCGCTCTTGACGACTTTATACGCAATCGGTCGCGCATTTTACACGGAATTGCGACTTTCGCTGGCGTTTGACGAAATGTTGAATCTGTTATCCACTTCGTATAATTCCGCTCGGCCTGAAACTGTGATACACGTAATACGGGTTCATTTCTACTGATAATGATATACTCGACCTATCCGAATCTAGGCTGAGACACTTAGGAACGTGTGTTACTCAGATGAGTCACCCTTCCACACTTACGTCACGTGAGTGCGACGGAGTGACGTACGTGCCAACACGGATGACCCGCCACGCATCCACGCAATCTGCGTCACACGGTGGGGTAGTTTATGCGTACAGTTCGGCACAACGAATAACTCTCTCGTACCTCGCAATGAAGCTCCTCGTAACATTATTCGTGTTCTTCTCGTGCGGTATTCTTTACGTCAAGGCAAGGGTGGATGGAAATGAAAATATCCGCGGGCTCGGTCCTGTGAACGGCGATCCCAACGACAAATACTATTACGGACAGGAGGATTATCTCGAGGCCATCTCTGTACCGAAGGCTTGGAGTATCCTGGACTCTATACCAAAGAGAACGCAGGTGACCATCGCAGTTATAGACGATGGAATCGAGGCAAGTCACCCTGATTTGAAGGGCGTCGTCATCGAGGGCTACAACGTCGTTGATAAAAATAGTGATACCAGTCCACGAGGACCGCATGGAACCTACATGGCTGGCATCATTGGCGCTATCAGAAATAACAAGATCGGTATAGCGGGTATTCTGAACGATGTGCGTATACTGCCCATATCTACGGGTCACGCCCCAGGTCAGCTGCGTGCCATTGAAGCTTTTGAATATCTCATGCGTGAGATGAGAGGCGATGTTAAAGTGGTCTTGTTTGCGCTTGGCCGCGAAGAACCCCTCCCAATCCTGATGGAGAGGATTCACGCAGTCGTTGCAGCTGGCATGCTCGTTGTGTTGGGTGCAGGAAATAAGCATATGGACATGGACAAGGTCAAGTACTATCCTTGTTCCGGCCGTGAACTACTCAGCGAAGGAGTTATCTGTGTTGCAGGAACAAAGGGTGCCAAAATGCAGCTTTACGACGGAAGTAATTTCGGCTCAGATGTTGATATTGCCGCTCCGGGTTACAGAAT